AAGTCCTGCTGCATAATGCAGCAGGATTCAATCGCATCACATGCAAACGTTCAAAACAGAGATTAGAAAACACATTGCTCATTCCTTGGACTACAGACCAATAGCGTGCAAAATGGTGGAACTAGTACAAGAGGTTTGTAACAGTCTCTGTGGAGCTGGGATCAAAATAGACCGGCAGACAAAAATGAGGATGAGAAAATAAGATACACCTTATTAAGGTACTGTACTCTCTGATTTTAATCCTAACAGAAGTTTTGTTGACAGCATTCAGACTGCAATGTCACTCTGCACCAGGTACCCAATTAATCTGTCTCATGGAAACAATTTCAGCAATGGAGAGCAGAACCCTCCTTTCTTTGCTACATGGTGAAGTTTCTTTCTGTTTTGCCCATTAAGGTCCTGTCGCAAACTGCACAGATGTTTCAAAATGCTGCCTCAAAGGGACACGGATAAAAATCAACGGGCCTGAGAGACAACTGTCCCTTTCCCCAGCAGGCACCACATTCTGTCCCAGCTCAATAGCTCTTTCTGGAGCCACTGAGAAGTGCCCAGGCTCCCACACCTATGTGATGGCTTAGCCCGGCGTGTTCTTGCATCCTCGGTTCTTACCGTGCCTCCATTGGTGACCCAATGCCGCAAATAAGCATCCTATTATCAGGGGACCGCCCTTCTCAGGAAGTTGAAAAACTTCTTCATTTCTCAGGAGGCAGAGGCTGCCTGGTTGGAGGCATGTTATTTCTAAGGTCCCATTCTCTAGAATTAGGAGGCATCAAGTTAACTTCCTCAGCTAAAGCAGCAGCATCCGTACCGTTAACAACCTACCAACTGCAGCTCTATCACCAAAACCACAGCCAGCTTTTTCATGGGTAACTTTGATATTGATGGGCAGATCCTCACTTTGTTTTACACTGTAAGAGGAGCTACAACAACATATGCCAGGAGAGACAGACGCTGCTCCTGCACAGGTTCTACGACACACAGATACATCATCAGGCCTGGGTACTCCTGTGTGTCTGGCCACAAACAGATATGAGATCACATCATTACGAGACAAAAACCACTGCAAAATGATTTCCTCACACAGCACCTTTACTCTGCACGGAACATCAGATACGTTAACACTGGCAGTTCAAAGATACTGGACAGTATTTTTATCCTCTAGAAGTTCAAGGCTGCAGAAGAAATCCAGACTAGCCATTAGTTCAATCAGCACACAGGAAACAACAAACAAGAACAGAATCTGGTGCAGGCTTGGTGGGGTTCTTGTTTTTATGTTTGTTCTTGTTCTTGAAAGATGTAAAGCTTTTAACTTCCACACCCACAATTCACCATTTTGCTCACCTAAGCAGCACAACTGTTTTACCATTTAACACTATGTCTAACTGGGGATGGTGAGCAACACTCACTCTCACCGCTATCTGAAACCCTAGTGTAGATAGGCACATCCGCCCACTCCATTATTAACTAAGTTAAAAACAAACCCCAAACTTAAATGATGAATACAAAGCTTCAAAGCCTAGTGGTGATCTTTGCAATCCTAACACTATTAAACAAGTAGCCAAAATACAAGCACCCAATTTGATCAACGAAATTTGATTAAAAGGACAACTAGGCTAGAGCCTGGCTTGGACATCGAAGCTACATATTTAATCAGGTCACAAAATGAAGCGAGAACCATATATCCACTGCCAGCTCAAGAAAAATAAACCCCAAAGTTCAAGATCTGTTGGAGTATTGCTATTTCTAAGGTTTTCTTTAGAGATATTACAAACAGATGACGTGCAGGTAGCCAGATTGCATCAAATGACTGATTTTACAGTGGGTGAAGTTTCTCTGTGAGGGTAACTTGCTTCAACATTAATGTCTTAATGTTAAAAATGAAAATTTTGTGTCTTAATGCTGAAAGTGAAAAGGTCTTCAGGTTTCAGTTTGCTTTATCCAAACATGTCAGCAAAATCCCACTTGCGGGGAGCACATATATTTTTGTAGACTAAAAGCCCACTATTCTGTTGTTTCCTTTAAGGGGGATAAAACCCGAATGCATGAACTGGATCATCAGATACTAAATAGTGCTGGTTGAGAGGGACATGTACAGCATGATGTGTTCAAAGGAACATTTTTTTTCCTCCAGTTGTTACATGCTCAATGCTGAAGCACATCTCCCGGTATTGGTTGTTAAGAAAAAAATTAGCACGGCTGGATTTTCAACCTTCTCTGAAGTTGTAAAAACAACACAAAAAAGAAATCTGTTTCTACTTTTGTTAAATGCATATCCTCCATGAGGGCGACTTCTGAAACTGTTTGATGCTGTGCTATGCAATGCTTAAAAATAACTTTCTCATACCCAGTGAAATAAACCTGGGAACTTGCAGGGAAGGGGATTAGAGTGAACAAATCCTAGCTTTGTTCTCTGGTATACCTGCAAACAAATCCACTTGCCAACCCGTGTTTTAAAAGTTCATTCTCATCAAAATGTAAAATCGATATTTAAAAGAATTATTATTTTTGTAAATCCCTTAAGCTCTTCAACTGTGATGTCACAGATGAAACTGCTATAATACACTCTCCCTTACCAGTTTGAAACCCATTTACTGGGTCTCGTATTACAGAGAGACGTGAACCAGATACGCCCTCGTGTATGCAATCTTCTGAGTTCTCACCTGCTATCTCCCAGCAAAACCATACGCCACTGTAACTGGAGAACATTTCACAAACTGCATGTACTTTACCCTTCTAAAATGCTCTTTTAGAGATGCCAGCAGAGGGCATTGACCTGCTTTATGAACTTCTTCCAAGCACAAGAATTGGTTTTACCCTTGCGAACGCTTCCTAGGGCTTCCCCCAGAAAACTCAGACAAAGCAGCAAACCGACGCAATTTGTTTCCACTCTAAAGCTACACTCACTCATATTATCGATTGCTCAGAGGTGTGCAAAAAAAACCCCCTATCTTGAAGAACTGGACCTAGCCCCTTCTCAGATGAAATTCATATTGCATTGTTAATGATTTTAGTCAAATCGACTTTGTGCAAAATATCTTTAAGAAGGTTCCGGCTCAACTTCAGAATACAAAAGGAAAATAAATAGTTGACTAGGATCTCTTGAAAACATAAAATGGTGTATGCTGAAAAGAAAATTATGGCCTTAATGCAATTTATCTGCAAATATAATAAGTAGAATAGTAGTGTCTGAAATTTTAACATGTGAGATGCCATTGATAAAGATTTCCATTTGAACAATGTTCCCAAAGTCTAGATCAAAACAACATTATTTTACACGTGGTAACTGCAGAGACTAGGAGCCTGAGATATGTTATTAAAAGGCAGTCCCTTGTAAACTTTCCTCAAAAGGAACAGTAGCAGTTGAGTATGCAAGAGTTACTCATATCATATTCATCAGGACAGCAATGCTTTATAAAAGACATACAGCTTATTTCCAGGTTGTTAAGGATTTTATATGATACTGATTTTCTGAAACACGTATCCATCCAGTCCAAGATTGAAGTCACATCCTTCTTCACTGCTCTGTAGCTACTAGGTCTTTTGCTCTGCTGCTGTTGCTGTCTGTGAGGGAGCTTCTGGTTTCACAATCTGGTATGTAATGAGATATTCCGGGTACGCCTGAAAGTTAAGTCAAGAAAAAACCCACATTGCTTTATGCAAGAGCAAGCTCATGTTTTAGATTTCACTAAACAGTGATCAGGAAGGACAATGCAAGAATCAGCTCTACGTTTGCAGAGTGCAAAAGAAAAAGCAGATTTCAAACCTAGCCAGCACTAAGCAGGAACTGCTCAATGTAGTTAATATCTTCACTAACACACTAGTAGAAAGAAAGATGTTTCTTCCATGCAGACACTGCCAGAAATTGTGTGCGCAACAGGAATTCACAGTGTTACTCTCCTTGTTAGCTAATCCTGCAGATCAGTCAGTGCCTGTAAGTTACTCAAAAATCTCAGACAACTGATGTAGTTTGATCCTAAAATGCTCACTGACGTGCCAAGTGACCTGCAAATGCCTTTACTGGCAGTAAAATACTTGGCACATCGAAAGCACATAACCCAGGTGTCTGTCCAGCATTTTCTCAAGACAGCTGGTAGGAGGTTCAGTCCCAGAACAAAGCTGAAGCTGCTGGAGGGCAGGGCCCCATTCAGAGGAACCTAGACAGATGAGAGGAGACTGGGCCAACAGAAGCCTCATGAAATCCAGCAAGGACAAATGCACTTGGGATGAACTAATTCCTTACAACATTGCAGGATGGGAAGCAGCTCTGCTGAAAAGGTGTTGGGGACCCTTGGGTGACAGCAAGCTAAATAATAATCAACAGCTTGTCCTGGCAGCAATAAGGGCTACCGGCATCCTGTGGTACATTAACAGCAGCGCAGCCAGTGAACTGGCGTAGTGATGACTGACATTTATTCAGTACTCACTTGACCACATCTAGACAACTGCATACAACTTTTGGGCCCTCCAATGCAAGAAAGACATCAAGAAGCTGAAGCCAAGTTCAGTGAAGGACCAATAAGATAGTCAAGGGGAGCGAGCACAGGATAAACAAGAGGAGGCTGAAGGACATAGGCTTGTTTAATTCAGAAAAGGAAAGGCTTTGTGGGACCTTGTAGCACTCTTCCATCACATATGGAAGGCTACTGAGAAATCAGAGCCAGACTCTCTTCTGAGCTGAGCAGCAGGAGAACGAGATTAATTAAAACAGGGGAGGTTCCTATTGGATACAAAGAACATAATTTTTACTCTGAGGATAATTAAACAAAGGAACAAGCTACTGAAAGAGGCTGTGCAACACCGTTCTCTGAGGTCTTCAAGATATGCCTGGTCAAAGAAAGCCCTCAGCAATCTGGTCTGAGCTCAGTGTGAACAAGAAGCTGGCCTAGGTGACCCCTCCAAGATTCCTTCCAACCTGAACTTATTATATAATCTTGGAGCCATGCAGAGCAGTAAGCAAAACACTTTCTAGAGTAAGGGTCTAGTCGAGTTATTCAGATTAAAAATCAGCTCCTGAAGATTGCTGTGCTTCTTCAGCTGCCATTTAAGGGTAGTCTCTGGCAGACAGTGACACTGTCACTGCCGGAAATCTACAGCTAAAAAGCCCAGAATCCTCAATGCGTAGAAGAGCCCCAGAAATGCATGTGTTCTTATTACTGCAGCCATGCCAGTAAAATGCAATGGGAGAAACAGTGCCTAATGAGAGAAACTACAACTCTTATTAGACTTTAGCAGTGCTGCACAGGGAGGATGAGGCAATTCTGCATGGTGTAAATCACAGCAACTCAGTGGATAGGAGCAGCATTTGCTGGCTTGATACAGTTCACTGTTAATTTCCACATTTAAATGAATAAAATCTAATCAACTAGGTTATCACAGCACACTTGGAAACCGGTCACATCCCCTCTCCAGCACCAAACTCTGCCTTTCCATAAACCCAGGCCTTGCTAACCTACATACCTGTTCTCCTCTATAGATAACATATTCAGCGTATGCAAGCCCATTCACGCTTGGCCTGCCAATAACAGAATGGTGCCCTGGAGGGGCATGAGCCATTTTCATTGTGCTGAACTGAAGAAAGGATTTTCCAAGGGTCACTCTACAGAAGAGCATTTGTCTAAAAGGAAAAAAGAAAACATCATTTTAAAGTATCTTACTAGGAGTTGTATTCTTCCAGAATGATTTCAGACTTTTGAGTTTACTTTGTTACAATTAATTTCTCAAGGCTTTTTGAAGAAGCACTTTTAGAAAACAGTTCTAAGGCTGTATAAAACCTGTAACCAAAAATACCCCACCAAACAAACAAAACCCCACCATCTTTCTTCACATGCAGAAGGGAAGACACACACTTTGTTTAGCCCTCATGTGGAGGCCCGTTCTAGTTCATTTTATATAAAGCTGCTGAAAGAAGCCGAAACTCGGTGTTCCTACCAGCAGGGCATGGACAGGTGTCAAAGTGTGAAAAGCACATTGATCTTCTCCAGTACAAAACAAAACTGTGATTAAGTCCTGTTCACTACCTCCAAAATTATCTGATCCATAGTACAACACTGTACTGCTGACCACCACTTTGCGCCGCAGTTTTGTTCTGAGAGTGCCTGGAGTTTAATTGCTATTTTCTCCTGACTCTTCATTTTCAAACTTGCTGTTTCAAGCCTCTTTTCTGAGCCACAATTCACTTTGATTTATACACACTGTATGCTTAGATTTTTGACCTTTCGGTGAGACTCGTTGCATTTATATCCTTTTTTGTTCAGCCTTGACAAATGGAAAACTGCATTTTTCCTGCCATGACCAAGCTCAAGTGGCTATTCTTTCCCTGTAATTCATCCTTTGCCAGAATCTTAAAAATCAGGACAGCCAGAATTACATCTAGGGAACTCTGCTGGACTCATACCTGTGGCAGATGTAACAGGACCTGTCTTTGTGTGTGGGACAGCCTGTTCCTCCCCCTATCCCATACACATACTGGTTGCTTTTTGAGGAGTTCTCGGCAAAGTAAATTCCAGCTCCAAACATTCCTCCAATGTATGCGTGCCTTTCATCAAATCCTTTGTGAATTATAGCATTAATAAAAGGTGACCCTAGAACAGAATGACACAAAACAATGTATTATCATACATTCTTGTTAAGCTCTATAGTAATACAGGACTCTGTCAAGAGGAGCTTGTCTGCCTCAAATAGACCATTAAATACCAGAAAGCGTGCTCAGTCAGCTGGAAGGGGGCGATACCCAGCAGGATGCAGTGATGTGTGGGATTTATCGTTATATACCAAGATCCCACATGTGACTCATATTTCTTACTCATTTCACAGATCTCGTTAAATGGTTCCCCCCGCCTCACATTTCACTGCAATGTATCTTGTCATGCACACCTCCAGCAGTCAGTACTGGTTAAGATGTGGCAAGATATCAGGACAATCATACCCAAAATGAATTTCCTATGCAGAATCATAGAAGGGTCTAGGGAAGAAGGACCCTTAGGCAACTGTCATTTGTAGGCACTTTGGGATGCTTCTAGAAAACATCTTGCTGAATCTCATGGTTGGTTTTGATTCCTTTCCCTGATGGTTGCCTGAAGCATCAGGGTAAAACGCTTTTCCTGTGTGCCGCTCCCCTCGTTTAAAAGATATACTTTCTCACAGCAGTGTAACATCCTCCCAGCAGCTTTACTGGAAATGACTAAGATATGGCTTATCAGAAAACTTTTTTTTTTTTGCCTTAAATAAATATGGGGTTTTTATCTAGTGTAGCTTTTCGGATTTCAGTAAGCACACAGACTAACTCCACCACCCCCACACCCCTGCATTTCTAGTGTAGAAATACAATTGCTGTACAAGATGGTGACAGAGCAACATTAACATTGCCTGTGGGTCCTCATAAGCTCTTTTTTTTTGGGTTGTTAAATACCAGTACATATAAATAGAGATCACTTCCTTACCATGAAACAACATGCGTTCATTGTGATGATTATGATTCTCCTCTGAGACCTCCTTCTGCCTGTGACAGAATCTCTCCCGCAACTTCTTGTTCACGACCTTTTGAATCTGCAGTGGTACAACAGGTCAAATCATACTTGAATTAGAATTGAAATGGAATATAGTTTCACAGAGTTTGCATAAATTTAACAGGGAAACTGCGAGTAAGACACATGAACGGTATAAAGAATGCCCACGGCTGTTCTGCATGCAAGGCTGAAGTCTTTCAAACAAGCCAGTAGCACACACTTGCAGCTGGTTAAAACTACTGCGAAACTGTAGCCTAAGTTCTCAGGTTTAAGAATGACTTTCAGGCTTCTTCCCACAGAGCTAGTAATACCACCAAGAACCACAAAATGTCTGAAGCTCCTTCCCTCTCTGCTTTGAGCTCTGTTGAACAATCTGAGCTAGCTTTTTGAAGCTTTCTGTCTGGTTTAGGTTGAACTTTCATGAAAAGAAACAACTTCTGAGGAAAAAAATTAGGAGATGTGTTGTTCCATCTATCTTGAGACACTGTTCCAGCCACGTGCTCTAATGCCACTGTGGTTTCTGCAAAGGGCTTCACCTTTGATTTGGAGTAGGACGGAAGCAGAGTTTACTTCAGGACGTATGATCTAGTGGGCCAAGTTGTAAAGGCTCTGCATGGGCTCACTTTTCAAACAGATACCTAGCAGGGGCTTGCTGGAGCTCAGGAACCGAGTTCTGTTCTGATTTCCTCTATTTCCTCCTCCCCCCAAAAAAGGAACCAGAAAGCATACTTTCCCTCAGAAAGACAACACTCCATTTTCTGATAAGCCAGGGCTTGTAAAAGGTATTTTTCTAGTTGGCAGTGGCAAAGAAGGAGGTGTCAAGGTCCAAAGTAGCACACGGAGATAGAAACTATTAATAAAAAATCATGCTCATCCTTTCTCCCTCCCCAAAAATCTCCTTTAAAAAGGCAAGAAAAGACTACACTGAGAAAAAAAATCTGTGCTGCAAAGTCAAATACAGAAGTTACAGACCTCTGAAATTAAATCAGGTTGTGAAACGTAACTCAGGCTCTTCACCACCTCTATCTTCAGTATCAGTTCTTCAGACTCCTTTAAGAGCATAAGTGGACACTTCTCCCTCATTCCATGTGCAGAGCACACGATCAGTTTAATTTTAGCATTTAGCACTTGCTTTAACTCTGCTCCTGCATACTATTTCAATAAAGAACTTTAAATATAAAAGGGTGATCCATTAAACCAATTCTGCCTGCTTGCATAAGTACCAACTTATTTTACCACATAGAATTAAGAGGTTTTGAAACTTACCCTGATGACATTGTACCTGTTGAAGATCCCACCAGCGTTTCCACCATCCCGATGTTCCCGGATTGTACTTTGCATCTACATAAATGAACACAACTGAACATTCAGCACACAAAGCTTGCTAGCAAGACAAAGTATTCATGCAATATCTCAGTGTATCACCAGCAACAACAATCTTGACTGAAAATTAACTAAAAGGTGTAAAAAAAAGAAATCTCAATTTTAAACTGAGGTACGCCCTTATTTCTCAGGCACCCAACATGTTATGCTGTTCCACAATAGAGAAGTTGGATGATGCAATTCTCCAATCTTGTAATAAAAATCTACATAACAAAAAGGAAGATAGTGGCACCTGCTATGAAAATTATACACAACTAGAAAACCTTTAGATTAGAAAAAAAATCTTTGAAAATTAATATACAAAAGAGATAATTTTGAAGTAATAATACATGTGTTTCTAATTAGTACAGTTTGTATTTCTTAGTGATAGGAAAATGCTTGCACTGTAAATATTCCTACGTCATTAGAAGCCCCTGAGAATTTCAATGGTTTCATTGTGTCTTTTCCAGAGATATTTATAGCTACAGCAACAACATTTAGAAACAGCTCAAACAAACATCCCAATTTACTATGGCAGGCAAGTGACCCTTTCTGTCAGAAAAGTTTATAAAAAAGATCTGTACAAAATCCAGTTTACAGAGTCACTAATCAAAAATAGCTGCTAAGCTGGCAGCAATCCTGAATATCTAGACTTTTAAAAAGACTCGAAACACTTCTGCGCTACAGTGTAGGAACACTACACAAATAGCAAGTGCACAGTAAAATGGAGTTTCTTCCAAACACAACTCTTCAGAAAGTCTCTTTTCTGTTACAATTTGTCTTTCAACATGGTATCTGCTTGTAGTTTACTTAAATAAAAGAGCATGTGTGTGTGGGAGGCAAAATTATAGTCAATTCTCAATTATCCAAGAGCTGTTTATCTGGGTTACAGATTAACTAAGCCACTGAGACAAGAGAAAACAAGCTGGCTCACATGCAGAAACAGCCTGAGCACAGAGAATGCCTACAGACTTGCAAGGTCTTGATCCCTTGGTCTTCACTCACAGCCTTTGATTTTCACAGTTCCACCTGTCTACAGAAAGCTGTGGAAACCCTTGCTATGAGACGACATTCAAAACACAACAACAAAGTAAAATTGGGATAACACTAAGTGAGCAAACAGACCACTTATTAAAAAAAATTGGCAGGACACAGCAAAATAATTTCCATCGTTGCTCTATATAAAAAGACAAATGAAGAGCCCTAAACTTCATGTCGGATCTATGCAATTCATACATCAAAGCATATTTTATCACTTTCAACATACGTTGCACGTTTTAGGTCTGACGAGTTATAAGCAAAAAGAGAAATACACTGCCACAGGAGCATTAAGAAAAGTACTTGCAATACCTCCTCTTCCACGGACTGATACTCCTTATCATCAGGAGCAAGGTCAAGGAGAATGGTCCCCTGACTCACACAGTGGAAAGTCAAATAAGGATTGGTGCCTGCAAAGAGAAGGAATTAAAGGAGTAAAAATCAACAGGAGAAAACCATACCAGCTCTATTTGTATCCATTATCATCATTATTCTTCTTAAACAACTCCAATACAACAGGAAATGCAAACTAAACACAAGGCAGAAGCACAACCTTTTGTTAGCAGCAGAGGCTTCAAAAGAGAGAAGGAAAATGCATGTGGGACATAATTGCATTTTATTGTTTCCACTTTCAAGAAAAGGATCTGAGAAGCGTGGGGCAGCAAAACACTCCATCAGGTCCACCCTTCAGGATACAACTGGCCTATGGGTAGGTACGTAGGGCAAACCAACCCAAAAGCTCCTGCCTGGGTGAAACAGACTCCCTGGAAATGGGCATAGCCTCCACAGCTACCTCAGGGTGCCCATCCTCTGGAAAGGCAAGTGATCACTCGGTTCTGTATCTCCTCAATATATTCTTTACCTGTCACAACACACCCAGTCACCAGGTTTGCCAGCAAGTACCTTTTCCTGACATCCAAATTCTTTCAAGTCCTGATGACAATGCCTACATTTACAGAAGGTGACTTCTGGGAGACTATGGTATGCTACACTTAGACTAACCAGTAAAAGTGTCGTATTTACCTTGCTGCCCTCCTAGAAGTCTCTCCACACCTTTTATTAATTTGTGGCGGTGTCCATATGCATTGATCCCAATTTCTTTAAGCTCCTCATGCCCCATGTCTGCCAACACATCCAAGGTTATCTGGAAAAGTGAAAGACCACAAAAATTACTTGCGAACCTGGCCCGATTGCCAAGGCTGAAGACCCATCAGTTCAGAAAATGGAATGTATTCATGGTGCAACCAAGAGAGTATTCATATTTTATGTTTTGCTGGACTTCTAATTGCTGCCACCTTCTGGCAAGCCTCTCCCTATCACAGGACCATAACCAGCTCCTACAGCCTGAAGCTGTGCAAAACTTTTAGTTCTCTTACAGCAATTAACAAGAGCTGGTTCTCATACAAGGTTCTCAAAAACATTTTTACTTATGTAGAAGGAGGATGCATGGAAATGCTGGGACAAATCTGGGAGTATTTTTGAAGCATTCAAAGTTTCACATTGTTGTGCAATTCATCATTTTCACTACACAAACAGAAATTAATATTCTATAAGCTTACTAATAAATGTTAAGTGAGTTTCACATCAACATTATTGTGGTGTGTGCTATTACTGTGTGTATATATCCATGTATGCACTTGCACGTGTATCAAACCAGTGGGGCAGCTATTCTAAGTTGTGCTCAACTATTCCACAATTTTTGGAAATAACTAACATTGTGAGGACACATACAACTATTCATTTGGCTGCAATATATGAATGCATCTACGATCACCAGGCAAGACTTTAATTTTCAAGGTCACAGAGATCATTGGTGGAAGCAGAAAGGTAATAAAACATGATGTCATAGAATCATAGAATGCTTTGGGTTGGAAGTGACCTTAAAGATCATCTAGTTCCAACCCCCTTGCCCCCTCCACTAGACCAGGTTGCCCAAAGCCCCATCCAACCTGGCTTTGAACACTTCCAAATAAACATTTTTTTAAAGAACAGGAGAGGGAGGCTAAATAAAGTACACATTTTTACTACTATAAAGCAATTGTGCACTGAGGTGATTCAGTGAATAACAGAAAGATTTCATCTGGAGGAGATAATTATATAAAATCTATTTCCAAATTTACAGAGGAAACTAGAATGAGAAGCTCAGGAAATAATGGGAAACCATACGACTTGATTCAAAAGAAACTGCATTGTTAGCACAACTGGACTTGCAGGTATGAACTCTGCCCACTACAAATTGAATATCATTAATTCAAAAGAAAGCAACTCAAGCAAGGAATTAATAGCTACATGGAACATTTGTCCAATTGAGCAGAAAACAACCCTACTGGGATTGCTGTGGAAAAGCCACTGAAGATATTCATCACGTGTAGTAGAACATTAAAAAATACAGAAGAAAACCAGGTATTAGAAAACATCAGGAGGAGGCTAGAGCCAAAGTGAAAAAGTGCACATGATGGTACTGCAGTGCTTGGAAAAAGCAGCTTAAAACAATAAGCTTAAGGAAGATGAGCTTGTTCTCACTAGAAAGAAACTTACAAGAGCAGCTAAACAGCTTCAAAACGATGAATGAATATAGTGAATCCGATTTACATTATTAAATCTCATTAGCAGGGGGAGATCTTAAAAACAGGCTAGGAGCTAAGGAAGCAAAAGTAGAACAAAATCAGCATGGTAACAGAAAGGTGTGAATAATAAGAAAAAAAGAAATGTGAGCAGAATATAGGTTGGTTTAAGGTTGGTTTGCTTCTTAATAGAAGCAGTTCCAAATTAAAGAAAAGAGCTTATGCTTCATATGTAAGAAGGGAAAAGAGATTATATGGTGTTTTAACTTTGTGGAGATACCTCCTGTAATGTTTCATGGAAACAGTTGGGACTTTTTCTGTAAGTATTTCTAACGTTTGTTTCCTGATCCCTCATAAAAGATTAGCAGCAGAGACATGGGGAAAAAATAACCATCAGATCCAGTCTCTTGCACCTGTACCTTTCTATTCTACCGCTGTGTTCATCTCGCTCATGTGAACAAATAATCTATTTAACATGCTAAATTTAAGAAATAGTACATAAAAAGAGTCTGCAAATACATTAGAGGTACTTCTGCTCTAAAAAGTAACATCAGCTTGAGAAACTGTTACATTAGCTGTATTCTTTTCATATATTGTGAATTATTGATAAATCTGCAGGTTTTCCCCATCTCTCAATTCCATTTGAAACGTGTTAGCCCTGCAAAGCCCAGTTAATGCTATACAGTCCTAATCTATTAGGAAATGTAGTTCCTGCATTCTCTAATGTGACTCTGCCCTGGTAAACTAGATTTTTATTTTAGCTTAAAGTCAAACTGAAGGGTTTCCTAGATCGAACGAAAAGTGTCACTTGCAGCACTACAGGTGACAAAAGACTTGTTTGGATATCAAGACTGCTGAAGGACAAGTGCTGGCGACATTCCAACCTCACTTTGTTATAGCCATCATGTTCAAAGTTCACAAGGTCCAATGTAACACTCAGAATACAAGCCGAATTGGCAGTTGTCATGTATGTTTAAGAAAGTGAAAGACATTGGATATCTGAATCAAACAATAAAAGAGATTTTCACAGGTTTCTCAACTTCACCATAATTCACTTAGAGAATGAAAATGTCACTCAAATTTATTAGTCTATCTTTTAAACACACAATCAGAGATGAGGCTTGCCACTTACCTGTTCTGTCTCAAAGATGTCCCGAAGGTGTTCAAGACCCAGGCTTTTTAGGAACTGTGTAATGTTCATGTCAAGACCAGAAACTATATAAGAAGAAACAAGTCATTATACCCTATGCACCTGAATTAAAACAAAACAAACCAACACACACCCCTAGCCTTAAAAAAAAAAAAAAAAAAAAAAAATCAAGCAATACCACTGATTCCCTCAAAACTCCAAACTCTGATGCTTTTTACAATCAATTTGTCTATGTCTATAATAAACAATCCACTTGCACTGTGTGAAAGCTCAGTGCAAAGCTGATCACTGTTCTCTCCTCAGAATCAACTATTAAAAAGCACAATCAATCTGTGGCAAATACAGTCTCACACTGCAAAGACAAGGAAAGGAAGGGTGGGTCTATTTTTGCTATGTAATCACCTAGATGCTGACATAAAGCATGCATTCCAGATACTAATCAAAGAGTTTAAAAAGCCTTAGCAAGATCCCCCAGCCATCACAATCATAATTCCTTCATCAAAATAATTCTCATTGGATTTTCTGTATAGAATCAACATCAAACATCTGGTCACCTAATCAGATCTGCCTTTGTAGTCAGACCTAATTACTGATAGCATAGATGAACAGCCAACAATGCAGAGCACATGAAAACAGAGCAAACATCAGACACTTTAAAATGCACATAACAGTTCAAGCTGTACAATAATCTCTGGCTAGTCAGAAATGCTTTTCAGATAAAGCAAGGCCTATTGTGATACTAAGCTACTGTACTTCTGGCAACGTAAACCTGTCCAGCAGCAAATGCACCTTCTCCTTCCTTCCTTTCAGTCCCTGCTGCTCCATCACCAGCATTCGATGCCCCTCCTACGGCTAGTTCTGCCAGTGGCCCAGTGAGGTTATCTATACTGCTGGCGGCAGAGAGGCAGGACGGTGTAGACGCTGGTGAGATCAGGGAGGCACTAACAACAGTGGCTTGAGGCTTAAAGCATGTAGGCAAAGCTTCTGGAGGCATCGCGTCTATCAGCAAAGCTCGGATATCATCAGCCTGAAAAACAGAAAAAACATTCAACATGAGGTTCTATTATCACAAGTCACCGATCTCTTGAAAGAATTGTTCTTTGAATTTGTTTTAATTGATTGCTCTGTTCCCCCATTAAAAAGAAAACTGCCAACTTTTGTAACACAGGAATTCATGGTTGCAAGAACATTCTGATTCACCGCTTAGACACACGTGAATCAGGTTCTCCTCATTTCTAAAGGTATGTGAGAAGGTACATCTAATGTCCTTTCTGAAAGAATGACTTTATAGGTATTAAAGTCAGGAAGAGCAATGCAGCAACTTTATCTGAAATCCTTCACAACGTAGGCCAGGCAATGCCACCTCATAATTTCTCTGTCAGACTCAACTTCTGGCGAAGCATTTTGCACTGGATCAAGGTTTCAATGGAAAGACTACCACTGCCTTTGCTATAATCACATCTTATAGTGTTATAATAGAAAAAAGAAGAAAAAAAAAAAAAGAAGCTACAGGAGAAGTACAAACTTCGTTAACAATTGGATTTAGCCTTTGGTGACTAAATTAAGCAGGACTCTCATCTTCAAGAATTTCTTCCTTGCATGTTCTTGTAGAACATGATTAAGACATACTTATTTTCCCACAGAAAAATCAAATTTTCATATCCTTAATCACACAGCAAGTTTTCTAGAGCTCAGATTATTCTGGAGGATATTTCTTGAACTCTCCATAAATCAATCAATGGCATTAAAAGATACTTGCACTATAACCAGACACAACATTCAATTTGGTTGCAGTATCTATTCCATCAAGACTGGGACATACATGTTAATGTCACATTATTAGGCTTTTTAACCAGCTGACACTGTCACCACTAACAAGAAAGTTTACGGATGTCAGTTTTAGAAAAAGTTTGATAGCCACCTGCAAATCTTAGAATGTTGTTTTGGAGTTAGACCAAAAAAAACCTGAGGTAATATGCAGGCATTGAACAAAATCATGCTCTAAATGATCCCATTCCTCTAAAGGCCCATCTGATTTTCCTCCTAGGCTCAAAGAAATAATCACCAGCACTACACAGATTGGCCATCATCAGGGACATTTCAGAGAGGTTTATTTCTGGCAATGAGGAGATTGATCCCAGGAGTGAATCTTTAAGCAGAAGCAAACCTTAAATCATAAGCTACATTAAGATCTCAGCCAAAGGAAAATGTCTGGACCCACGGGTAAAAAGTCACAAACAGGCACCCTGGAGATGCTCATCTCCCTCGACCTCAGCACAGCGAAAGCTGAGGACTGTTGATGCCATGGAGCCATAGAAAGCCATTTAATATGCAGAGCAAATCCTCCAGAGCAGCCTGTGGCTGGCATGCTAACAGGAACTTACTGTTGCCAGGTCTAGTGGCGTCTGACCCTCTTGATTCTTCATGGTTGGATCTGCTCCATGAGCTAACAGCAGAGCACAGAGCTGCGTCCTTCCTTTTTGTGCAGCTTCATGCAATGGTGTGAATGCCCATTTATCTGTTGCATTTACGCATGTATTGTATTTGATCAACAGGGCTGCTATATCCACGTGCTGGAAAACACAAGACCATCTTAATCAACACGACACTGGTAAAACATCTATTTCCTTTTTCATACTGGAGATAATGGTGCTTAGAGACCCCTGTAATTTATCTTTCCTTTAACTCACTTCTCTGCCTCCTGTGTCTAGGCAGCAGCGCACCCCTTCAGGTACCAATTTATACTGCAGCTCCATGGTCATCTGTCTATCTGCACTCCCAGATCACCCACCAGCACGTGTATATCTGGGATCAGGCACAGAATTATATTTCTGCCAAATCATCTCGAGTACATAGCATGACGTTTGTGTCAGCTGCAGGAGCAGACATGATACTTGATCCAGCATAAAACTGGTAAAAGTTAACCGTCAAAACATTTGTACACAAATTAGAACTGGTAAGACAAATTCACAAGGCTGCAACATTTGTGATACAATACCAGAAGCTCTAAAATCAATGTGTTGTACTGCAAAGCCACCACTTAAATGTCTGTACACAGAAGTCTTCACTGTACTTTCTTTCTTGCAATTTCTTGCAAGACTTTGAACCCATCCATGGCAGCACAAATTTGTTCTTTCTCCAATCATATTTTATGACAGAATTGTAATAGATAAAACATATTATGAGTGTCATAATACAACTGTTTTACATGGGCTATAAAAGTAATGATCTTATAACCCCACGCTTCCATCAACATCCCATCCTTGAAGTCTCCAAGTTAAAGTAAGAGAACAGAAAACTGGCAAATAAAATTTTTGGCTGCCTCTGACCAGTAAAGTTACTTGTGCAATACAGCTAAGAAATAAAAAAGCAGGTAGTCAAAATAAGTAGGTAGGAACGTGAAACACTGAAATTGTAAGCAGAAGTGCAAAGACTTGCCAATGGATTTCATTTTTCCTCTCAATGGCAATTAAGTGACTCTCAGCAGCTCTTGTAAAAGGGCTTGCTCTTTGAATAAGCATGGTTTGAAAAGACTGCTGACCTTATTTTTCCTCTCTGCCAAACTTTTAAAGCAACTGCTGCTCCTGTGACTTTTCTGCCACATGAAACCCTACCAAGGGACAGACAGCATGAAGTGCTGGGTGGGAGAACTGAAGATACTTTGTGGGGAAAAGGTTGAGCCTGTGAAACCTGCCACCTATGAACTTGTGAAACCAATGCTCATCAACTCTCTACCTCCCATTAGCAAGATCTGAACGGGCTGATGACAGCTCAGAGATAAGCGTGGGCTGCCACAGGAAAGGTATACAGCAACTCTCAAGTAAACTAAATAAGCTGATGGAAAAGCACCAAACACCGCTTCGCCAACTTTTCCTAGAGAAAGTAAGGCAACCAGATTAGACTGGCATTATGATTTTCAGAAGTGACAATCTCTAACATTTCCCTGTGCCAGTAAGGAATGTTTTGCCTTCACCTGAAATGTGTGTTTTGGTTTACTGTGCTTGAAAAGAAAGAACACAATCTTTGCAACAGAATGTATTTCTAGATCTGAGCAACATTCTGGGAATTTAATGCTTACAGCAGATGCTGATGAACAGTATTGCTTGGTATTAGGACCCAGTAAGATAAAGCAATTCTGTGTTCTAATCCTTCAGCAGTATTTGGAGCTTTTTGCTCTTTAGGACACTAGGATCCCAGACTGACGTAGATAACCAATGCAAATGATGCAGGCTGAGTTTCATTGATACACTCTCCTTAAAAACAAGGTGAACACTGTACTTATTTCATTTGGCTGTCAAAGAAAAGCAATTGTGGTTCTATTACGATCACCTCTCACAGATTTTGCTCTTGGGCCAGGGCCAAGTAGTAACAGACAAAGCATATCATGAGACCATCAAAAACACTACTTCTTGAGCTTCATGTACTCTGTTCGACTCTGTACACTGTTAGGAGCTTCTCAAGCACTCTCTGTACAATTATTTGTAAGAGATTTCTTTCTCACCAAATCCACAATTAACAGCTACTTATAAGCAATCTATCAGGCACCTGTGCAACTGGTATGCACACAGTTGCTTCCCCCTATATGCAGGAAGAAGGGCCAGCATCATCCAAAATGGTTTGAATCAGCCACTGCACTCCCACTGTGGCAGACAGCTTGCCCAGGAGGATGCCCGTGCTACAAACTCAGTAACCTTTCAACATGTTAGCTTAGCAATAGTTCCCCAATGGAGATCAGCTGTAACAGACCTCCACTCCTCTGTCATCACCTAGACACAATCACCTGGTATTCTTCTCTTCCTTCCATCCAAGTCTTTCAGCAACAACTTGAAGTCTTTTCTGTTTCAACAGTCACCCCAAATTTAACACTGTTCAATGCTGTGCATGTGCTTGCCTGCGTAAAAGCCATGTTCTCATGTTCTTTCCAAACTGCAGCCTTTAACTGCTACAGCACACCTCAATCTGTGTCTTATTTAGATCTGTAGGACTGCAAACAGGACTCACAACAGCAACTTAGCCCAACAAGTATTTCATGCCGTCAAAACCTGAACTATGTTCACAGCAAAAGAGTTGCAAAATAACTGGCTTTGAATATGACTTTAAGGAGTTCCTTGTTGGTCTAACTCATGGCAAGAATGCCTGCACCTACCCCATAGGATGCTGCATTGTGTAGGGGGATTAATCCTCCTTTGTCCTGGGCATTAACATCAGCACCATGCTCAAGAAGGTATTCAGCTACTTCCAAATTGTTGTAACCAGCTGTAAAATGGCACAGGAAAAGAAATCAGGTATTAGGAGAGCTAAACTGAAGAAAAATTATTAGACAGAAAAGTTAAAGCAATTTTTCGATGCAAAAGCTCCTCTTTCCTAATAACTGTGCTACCTCCTGAAATACAGCTGCCATAGTTAACAACTCTCTGCACAGGACAATCATCCGTGAAACTTACTATACCAATCCTGGTTTTGGTGATTAACGTGTGCAGCCCTATCATAAATACACGAGCCTTCAAAACCTGGCAAGTCACCCACCTGCAAGATGTAGTGGTGTTGAATTTCTTCCCTGGGTGTCTCTGCAATTGATATTTTCTTGAGTACATAGCTTCTGCACTCGTGCCAGGCACCCCTTCTTGGCAGCATCTAGCAAGGCAGCATCTCCACGCAGTAAGTCCTGAATATCTGTGTCTCCTTCTTTCACCAAATCTAGAGGAGTGTTCCCATCTCGATTCTTTTTTGTTGGATCAGCTCCATGCTGCAAAGAGAAAAATGGAATGCTACTGTCACAACCATGAGCGGAGCAGTGCACATAAGTGTGTTGCTATTTTGTGGCACAAGATAGGAGATGGGGGATTTTGCAGACCTGCTATCATGAAGTAACAATGGTATCGATTAGTAGGCACATGAGAAAAAATGCAGGAGGCTGAGGCAGCGCTAGTCTGCAACGCAGCTGTGTGAATCTCAACTCCACAGGCAAGAACGGCAGCCCTCTGCGAAAGCTGCCACTGCTTTACTTGTAACTGAAGTAGGTTCAGGAGCATATCCTGCATATAGCTATACCCTGCTGTCACAGCAGGTGCTAAAGAAAAGCCAACTCCAAATACCTAGCTGGCCAGTCCTCCCTTCTGCAAACCGGCTGGCAGAGGTGTTTCCTCAGCACACCTTTCTGAGCTAGTGAAGCCAGGCCCCAAGTTTCACTAAATGCCACCCTGCTGTTGAAAGGCACTTGTTTCAGAAGGGAACTAGAAAAATTAATCATTTCTACACTTCCCAGTAGACAACAGCACCATCTTAAGCAGTTTACAGGTCCTGGAAAGCAGTGAAGAAAACATTTTGGTGAGAAAGTGGATTTGAATGACTGCTGGAGAGTATCTGTGCTGGTAAAACATGCAGATCAGCCAGTGATAAGAACGCAGTACTGGGACGAGGAGAGGAACATACATCTACATGCAGCATATGGTGTGAGTCATGTCCACATACAATTTTGTGGGAGGATAGCTCCTTCCCTGTTCGCTCTCAGCAGCAGTGGGGAAAAACCAAAGATAGTTAAGGCAGAGGCAGCTGCTGGCACTGTAGTTCTCTGGCTGGCCCCTTCAGAATAATCACACGCAGTGGTCCAACCCCTGCCAGCAAGTCCACTCTGACATTTCTCACTGGGGATGCCGGCAAAGCTATGTTAGCATGAGCCACAGGGAAGGAGCTGGGGATGGGGAGAGCAGAAGGAATTAACTGCCTTGTATTTGGAAGCAGTACAGCAATGCCCGGGGTGTAAAGGGTAAACAGCAAGGGACAGAAAGGGACGGCGTACTGATTACACAAAACCAGTTCCACATCTGTGGTGCTTTTCGGAAGAGAGCATTCTTTGCACAAAGCCTTTTAAACTGCAATGACTTCTCCAAGATATGACCTTAGATCCCTTAATTTAAAACTCATCAAAACCGGTACTATTCAAATACTCTCCAGAATAAATACCTACACAAAGAGTCAGTATCTTCTGAGACCCCTTCAAAGGCATAGAAACAAATGAAGGCGGTAACTTTAAAGAAAGGTGATGAAAAATGAGTGTCTCCAAAATGCCTGTACATTTTTGCTTCCTTCTTCAAGCAGACCAAGACAGAAAGAGTCAGGAGGAGTCAAGCTCAACATCCACGGCTCAGCAGAACTGCCAGCTGGCAAAAGAGACACAGCAGGAGATGCCCTGAGCAAACTGCAGCATGAGCACATACCCACGGACACCCAGAGCCTTTACAAAACTGTGTCACCTTAAGGGCATGTTTAGCTCTTGTGCAAGAGCGATTTCAAAAAGAAAGATTTCAGCACTTTTCTATTTCCTTTCATGTATCCTTTCAGGATCTTTTGAATGCAAAAAAATGGCTACATTCCCAGTGGAATGATCAGAAAACTCCAGAGACCTCTGGTGTCTATAATGTAACACTGTTCTTGAGAGATCATGAATGCTGCTCTAGCTTGAGCTAACATCTGTATTCAGGTGTTACTACCAGGACCATCATCACACCTACTCCACAGACCATCTTTGAATATCTTCTGGTTTCTACTGCAGATGTGTTTTAAACTGATGTGCTACCCTCTCTGATCTGAATCCTTTTTTGGTAGTCCAGTGAAATAACTAATGAGATAGGAGGGAAATAGCAGGGCTTTGCAGCAGTAAATGAAAAGAGAAGTGGATGGGGAAAAGCCTCAGCATTTTAAGACTATCCATATTCTGACTTATTCCTATTTTAAACGCTGTGCCTCAGAGAGACAAAAAGTAGGTAAGGCTAAAACAAGAAATAGGATTGGCAAGAAACTCTACTCGAGCACCCTCTTTTACCCTCCCACGGCAGGATATGAGCTTATGTTAAGAACTCTCTCTGAAAACATGTTGGCATTACCTCATGCTTTTTACAGGTTCTTCCACTAATTATAATGAATATTTATTCCCCAGTATATCAATATGCATTTCCTCCAGGAGCTTGATAAATTATACATTAACATAACAGTTTTACATTTCTGACATGCCAGACACCATTTAGGACCCCCTTCAGTTACTGCTCTGTAACATATTCTTGCATAAATATTTACAAAGGTTTACTTAACTGCAGTAACTGTTCCAGAAAGGGATGAATACGATAAGGTGGGGTTTTTTGTATTTTTACACAAATTCAGCTGCTTTTTCCAGTGTGAGAGTCTTGTCCTACTTGGGTAATAGTACTAATACATGTACTGGAAAAAGTAACTGTACTGATGATTCTTTGCAAGCGCACTGACGTTATGCAAGAAACCTTCTGATAATTCTAAGATCAAAATTGATTCAAAGACACCATAAGGAACTCACTGAATGCATTTAACTTTACATTAATTAATCTTCAGCAAAAATAAACATATACACATTTAAAGACACATCTGAGAATTCCAGCACATACTTTTAAAAGCAGCTTGCAGATTTCATATTTTCCTTTTGCTGCTGCTTCATGTAGAGGAGTGAATTTCCACAGGTCTGCCACGTTGACAGAAGCACCGTGCCTCACTAAGAGTTCAGCCACTTCGTAGTGTCCATAAGAACAGGCATTGTGCAGGGGTACTAAGCCACTAATCAAAGAGAAAGTATTAATAGCTATAGAAAATAAAATCCAATATGCAATCATACAAAGTTGCAGTAGATAAAACTCCCACCAGACATTATCGGTATCTTTCAGTCTTTCCAATTTTTCATTTTCTATTAAAACATCAATTAAAACTTCATTATCCTCCTTCAGTTCTCATCCACAAGACTTTTAAATACTTAGGAAGTACCAATGTTACTACTTCCACAAGCAAGTAACTTCAATGCTGTTAACAACAGCCAAAAACTAAATTGCAAGAATCACTGCTGTTCTGGCTTTGATATTTGAGTATAAATTTCAGAAAAGGTGTAACTCTATACAATGGGTTTGAAGTGCAGTTATTAGGAAGCACTGCACACCTGATAGATACAGAAAGATACCCAAACATTTCTTTCAGGGACAGCCTGAAAATTCAGTATTGCAAATGAAATTTTAGCATTGGAAATGAATTATCCCCCACCTTGAATCAATATATTGGAATGAAAGATCAAACATAATCATGATATTCTACATGACTGCTTTGCAAATAATTTAAAAACCCGTAAATGATTCATATCATTTAACTGAATAACTAACTAACTAATAAAAACTAACTAACAGAATTAGAAAAATAACCAGAGATAACTCTGGTATTTCACACCATGCAATCCAAAACGAACTTTAGATCACCTGAAATAACTTAAAGGCTGCTTTTAAGCACAACAAAGTCTCCAAAATGGGTAAAAGGGGGAATAGAAGGATCATGTATTACAGTGCCAGATATGTACTTGACTGGCTTTGCCAGAAAGCTAAGCATGCCTTACTGGTCTACAAATCTCCCTACAATGAAGTCAGAAACAATGCAGAACAAGAAGAAAAAAGAGAAAAATTTTCAAGAGAAAAACATAGAGGTTACCGAAATCAAAAACAAAATTAATAGAGGGGGGTAGAAGTCTCACACTAACAGAAAACAGCAGAGCATATCATGGACTGAAATGTACCCTTTGTCTTTGGCATGCACATCTGCCCCATGGTGCAACAGATACTCCACCACTGATACGCGGTTATATCCTGCAGCAAAGTGCAATGGCGTTGAATGACGGCCTTCCAAATCTCTACAATTCACATTCTGAGGGCTGCAAAGTTGCTGCAAAAACAAAAGAACAACCCAAAATCTGGTACAGAACTAAAACAAACAAAGATCCACAAAACAAACAAAAAATAGTCTAACAAACAAAAAAACACACAAAAGAAAACCCCCGAACTACCACCTCAACACAAAATTTGATCCATTTATTATCATATACAAATTTTTAGAAGTTATGTTTCAGGAAATGTCTTTCCACCTAGGCAAAGTTAAAAAAATAGCTGCTCTAAATTTATGGTTGAAAGTACTTCTAACAAGACTTAAATGATGGAAGCAGCATGAAGACATTCCTAATGTATTAGAATAGGTGAGCCTCTAAATCATCAAGCATCAGGTTCAAGGCCATGTAACTTCCTCCAGATACGTTACCATTTCCAGCTTATGTTGACTTTAGAAATCTTGAAATACTGAGCTTGGCAGTCAAAGGAGCTGCTGGTGCACAAAACTGCTACTGTTTGAATATTAATATGTATCATGTTGAAGTTCAAGGTGAGAATCCATGCATAGAACAGTTGTCTGCTGTCTCAGTATGAGTACGAAAGACAAGCTCAGACCTTCCTGTGATGCTGGGATTCCACAGCCTGACCCTTCACCTTCTGATTAAGGATAGCTTAAAATGTGAAGCCTGCTACCTGTTAATACTTTTGTTTGACTTGCCTTCTGACTGAATCATATACCTGAGGCTTGTTTCTACTAAACTGTGATTCTGAGGACGACAGGGTCCACTTCAAAGAATTAAGGCTGCATCTGCAACGTTGCATCTGAGTCCATGGAAGACATGACTGTGTGAAGGACTAGGAGATTGAACAACCAAAAACTCAGGAGAAACACCTCAGCACATCTTAATGCACTACTTTCTAGAACAAAAATGAAGAGATTTGCCTTCCCATTTTTTATGATTTACCATCCACTGGGCACTACTTCCACAACTCTTGTAGCAGAGTCTTCCACAAGCCTTGCGCGGTAATACAAAGTGGAAAATTAGCATGAATTGCTCAAACCTACCTTCACAGTTTCCAAGTCTCCAGCTTTGGATGCTTCTAACAACCGATAATCCACATCAGATGTACGCACAGGTGTACTTTCTACATAGGAAAAAAGATGGTTTAGGATTACTCAGGATCATTAAGTTATATTAACTTGTGCTCAACTTATTCTCCAAGCTGGGAACGGGGAAGTCTTGTCATTTGTAAAAATACAGCTGGAGTTGTGGTGTTCAAGTTCATACTGCTTAAATGGCTGAATAAGGAGCCTTAGTTTCAGTGTAAACTGGGCAGACAGACTCTAGAACTGACATTATTCTGCCAAATGGAATTTCAATGCTTTGCTACTCCCATGTATGGTAAAAATTACCATTTCTACATTTAAGAAATCTACATGCTCACTGGGACAGATTCAAAGTTTTGCTGAAGATCAAATGAACCTTTCTCAACAATGTCAACAACCTGCATGAGGCACCAGCTGTGAACTCAAGAGTCAGGTAACAATCTCTATCAAAACAAGTCCAACATTTAAAAGAAATATTTCTTTAATCCAATCTTACAAAAATGAACACACAGTAATATTTGGTAAATAATCTCAGCATTCATTTACTACCTTTGAAATACAGAGAACAAACCATCACCAACCCTACACTACATGCATTTTTTCAGCTTTTGAATCTTTCAGTCTTGAACACCTTCAGGGATGTTAGAGAAAGGCTGCTACCTCTCCAGTGAAAAGCAGTGCGGTATGACATCTGAAATTAATTTTCCTAGAAAAGGTACATCAGTGAAAAATAATTAATTCAAAATCCAATGAGTGTTTTCAGAATACTAGTTTTACTATTTTTAAAAATCAAACTCCTATTCTCTTTAACAGCAGGGGATATGTTTATTTTCTTCTGATTCTTCTCTCTCAACACTCATAGAGTCATGTGCATGTTTTAAACAGGTAATGCTACCCGTGTAACCAGCTATATGTAACCAGCTACAGCTCAGAAGTGGGAACACTTCAAAACAGTCCTTCCATGCATGGCTATAAAGAGCCTCTTTTTTTTTCTTTTTCCTTTTTTTCCCTGTTTTAAGGCAACATTGTTGAAAACACTGAAGGAAATGGAGTTTCTAGGTATCATGGGTCTTCTCATCTATCTGGGTATCTGCCTTTCTCTGACTACATGCATACCCCGCTGTAAGGTGAGTTACTTGCTGATGAAATTACTCTTCTCTCTACTTGCAAAAAATTCAAATGTGACATGGGCAAGAGGATGCAAACCTTCAAGCACTTACATGAAATAATAGCGGCACCCTCTTCAAACATCTATCCACCTTTTTAATGCAAGATATAAACAGATTGTTACCTAAACAGTATCCAGAGCACTTTCACAATAAAAATCTTTCTCTGCTAGACAAGCAGGAGATTTGAAGTAAAAGTTCGAATGGTTTAGCAACTATCAGTATTTTTGTGCCAGTAACACTCTGCTTGTGACTGCCAAGGAATGGAGTACCTAACAGGGTGGCTGATGAGAGGAAAAAGGTTTCTCACGTGTTCAGCAATATTCCAGTTGCCTTGGAACTTGTTACAAAAAACCCCCAAACTCCCCACATCTGCCTTCCTACAATCTCCCTGTACAGCAGCAAGCTCTAAATCCACAAGATGCAAGTCTCTTGCATTGAAAAAGAAGTAAGATCCACAAAGCAAAGGGAGAAGCTGAAGTTCAAATACACAAGCCTTTATTTGTACCCACCACTTAGAATCTGTTGCACTGCTTCATTTCCCATCTGTGCTGCTGTGAAGCCTTGTAAAGAGATGATGGAGGGATCAGAGCCGTAGTTCAGCAAGAGCCGGCAAGTTTGCAAGTGACCTGCTAACGCAGCCCTGTGCAACGCTGTTTGACCAAGTGTGTCCAGTGCATTCATCTGAAAAATTAGCAGCAATGTAAAATAAATCATCGTTATAATTAAAAGCCTGCGCCTGTCCCTTCCCTTAATAAGAAGAGCAATAACAAAAATTTTCTGGCATACAATTTTATCTATCAATCCCTCTGCATTGCAACTAAACAAAACCAAATGACAAAACAGGTAAACACTCCAATGTAAAGATAATTTCCTGCAGATGTTTTCCTGTCTTTTAACAATTCAGGTTATTTGTTTGCATGGCTAACAGACAACACAGGATTCCCAAAATCAAACTTAAAATAGTGATCAAGCTTTTGAGAAATTCCACAAACCTTGTACAAGAAAAGCAAAACTCTCACAGAAGAGGAGAAAGAGGTAAATAACTAACCAAACAATTCAAAGATCTTCCAGCTTTAAGAAAATTACCATCTGTCATCCTCAGAAGGGGAATTAACTCAACATTACTCACTACCAAGAATTAAAGCAAAACAAAAATGTCAGGTTAGAAATTCTATGAAAGAGTGGGGGGAAAAAAAAGGTTGGATATAAACAGTCCATTTCCTCATCACTTTTTGTACTTTTACAGAAATGTTAAGTATAACTGGATATAATTCTACTCAATACAAGACTATATGAACAGGCAAAATGGAGTACTGCTTTCAAAGAGTAAGATATAATGGAAACGTATCTGTTTGTCAAGATCTAACAGAGTGTCTAAATAACTAGAAGCATCTCCACGGGTTCACTATCAGAGAAAAGAAGAGAATAATAGCTTTAAAAAGTAGAAAAAAACCCTCCTGAAAATAACCTTTCAGGAAGATACTTTGTACCTAGCAGCGATTCATGACAAATTTAAATGCAAATATCCAACAGCGTTTTTACCGCTTTATGAAATACAGAACTACTCTACATTCTCTGCAAGCAACTCAGAACCTGTTATCTGTTTCCAAGCCTACAGATTGCAGGCTGTGAACTGCATGCATAATAGACTCTGTTACTGTAAAAACCCACCTTTTTACCTTCTCAAAATCTTTGTGGTGGCAGTGAACAAAGGTTTTGCTTGTTATTTCTCACCTAAAATGCAGCCTGCAAATCCTACTACCCTTCCATGAAAACTACTGAAAAATATTCTGGGTAAGACGCATATGCTGTAACTAAATGAAATTTAATTAGGGGGATAACTATATAGAAAATATACAATACCAGACAGAGCAAAAAAAATTAAGTAAAATACCTGCAATACAACAATATCAAGCCACGGGAAAGAACAAAGAACTACCACGTAAATAAAGTGGAGCATGATTCGATATTGTCTGAAATTCTTCTATATCCCCGAACAATTCTACAGACTGATAAAGCAGGAATTTCACAGATCACAAACCTCTCTTGCAGGAAGATGTACAGGAGAACAGTTCTGCTTTCCTCTAACCGTGCTCAGCTCATGCCACTCTAACAGGATTTCCCTAAAAGTTTTGTTTTAAATAAAAACTTACTGCTATCATAAATATTAACTAGATGCTGAATGTCCCAAATCCATCATTTTGTCCAGATGATGATCCTCATCTGTTTCAGGACACCGGACACCTTTCGCCACTGATAAGGGCACAGAGAAAAGCAGAAGTCTGGGGCTATACAGGTTTAGTGATAGTAAAGGCAGAATGAAATGAGACTTGTGGATTCTGGAAGTAGCTGATAACACTCCGTTTGCCCAAGAAAGAATCATAACTAACATCTGCTGTAACACTGAATTCCTATGTTAAACACGACTGTACTGAACAAATTGTTGAAGAACAGCAGCAAGGCACTCATACTCCACAATTCTATACTGACTGTGTACGTGGAAAAAATGTTAATATTCATTTGAAAAGAACACTGGCAGAGTCATCAGATCCATGATCTCACATGTCTTATGCAGGTCTCCTTTCACCTCCAAATAATTATCTTTGCCCACAATCGATTCTTGTGGCAGAAGAGCGCCTGCCATTTGAAAAAATGCCTGGTTACTTCTGGGACAAAGAGGGCTGCAGCTGACAGAGGGATCCATGCACCAAATGAAGCTGTTCCCTCCCTCAGAGGAGAATTAGGTTTTGCTGGGCAATTTCATAGGGAATATGTTCACTTTGAGGCAGATCTGCTCTCACCAATTACCCAACATTTGTCTAAAACCAACCCAAGAAAGTACTGCACTAAGGCTGAAAGCAACGGAATTTATTTCCAAATGAAAATCAATTTGAGCATTACAAATTGAAATAAAAACTGAGATTAAATTCTCATAAAAATCAAATCTGGTAAGACATATGCCTGGGTTAACCACTGCTCAATACTAAGTCTAAAAACATACGCCCTTTCAAATTCAAAGGTAAGCTTTAAACTCTGTTTGACAAAATGTAAAATACCCAAGGTCTACTGCCTTATCTGTGTGCTGAGAAGGCAGATAGTTCTGGCTGCACTAATAAAAAAATAGAGAAAGGCTGCACCTCTGCATTACTTTACAGACAAGTTTTCTGCAAGGAGTTAAAAAATGACAGATTTGACAGCTTTTATTCTACAGCACACTGCCTCTGGATCTGGTTTCTTCAACTTTTAGCATGAAAGCAGTCACTCCACTGCTCAAACCACAACATAGAAGCGGAATGCAGTTATCAAACGAGAAGTGTTTTTAAGTAAGGCTTTTCACGGAAAGATACTGTCCTATACGCTATTTCGCAATGCAGAATTCCTTCTGTTCTTTCCTTTTATCCTTTTTATTTCCTTTTCCCCATCCTGGAAAGATGCAGTAGAGAAATCAAAATGGTCATGTATCATCAGACACTGACGAGATTTTTTTCCTCCCTGCACTGCCGCTGTCTTGGAGCAGCGGACACAGCTACAGCAACATTCCCTTGGCTGCCAGGCATTTGTGGCAGCTCAAAAGCTGGGACCTGTTCAGGAAACCTTTTTTGCAAGACTTCATAAGCATATCAGCTTTCTGTTGGTATCAAATGTCCTAAATATCCTCCTACTCCTTGACACTAGAGCAGCACAAAATGCAACAGCTTCCAAGCACTGCAATTTTCTCTGTGAGATCTTTCCTAAAGATGCACATTTTAAAAATCACATGTGAAACTTGTGCTCTGCCAGCAAGTCCAGCATCACAATATCCTTCCCTGCAACACAAGTGTTCTAACTGCTCTCCTGCTGCATTTGTTCTGAAGACAACTTGCAGTATGTCTTGTGTCTTTGTGCATTGCTAACAATAAACGGGCTAGGAGCGAAGAGGCGCTAGTGGCAATTTCAAGCTCCGTCAGAAGAGAAAAAAAATGAAAAAAAGAAAGGTCTAGTTCCACTCAAAGCTCCTATGTGATCCAGCCATATATTCCACAGTTGCCCTTTTGCATAAAAGCTTAAGATTAATGTCATTAAGTTTGGATGTCTAAGCAGTGAGAAAAGTTGAACAGATCACACAGTTCTCCATGTTGTTAACCATCATAGTCCAGAACCTGCCACATTTCTGAAAGGAAATTTAATTTCTCAATGCTTATTCTTTCCTGAGAAAAATCACATCTCTACCTGAAACGTTAGAAGCAAATGTATTATGCAACAAGGTTATTCAAAACCATTTAAGTCTGTTGTGTGGGTCTAGATAGATGGTGACTGTTTTCAAATTCTTGATCAATAAAGGCTGGCAACATGCTACTCCAGTGCACAGAAATAATTGTAGTATGCAAAGATCCATAAAGCAAGATCCTTCTAGCAGAGCAGAATGAAGCATGCTACCATCATGATCAGGGACACTATCTAACATGGCCTCAGGAAGGCTCATTTTAAGATTTGACTGGACAGGGTGCTGGGCCATCTTGTCTAGACATAGCTTTTGCCAAGAAATGTTGGACCAGATGATCCTTGAGGTCCATTCCAACCTGGTATTCTATGATTCCTCTTGCAGAAGAATAGTTTCAACAGTATCCTTTAGAAACACGACACAGTTAAACAAATTGCATTCATTACATCTCTACATTTGCCCAAGATATCAGTGACCTTCCATGCTTGCAGGTCTGCCTTTCCAACAATCACTCCAGTTCAGAAAATACTTTAATCCTTTTCTTCTGCACTCCTAGAAAGCTGAATGTCTTTCTGAACATATTAAATTTCCCATGTATCTGCAAATTCAGACAAGGAGCTAGTTATAAGAGGTATCAAACTATCTGGCAATACAACAAAACAGGATGAAAGCCACTTTTTCATTAGTTCACCACCTTCAAATTATTTTCTTTCAAACAAAGGATTTTGACCATCTTCAAAGATACAATCATGGCACTCAAAGATTTGCTCATGGGTCTAATGAAAAAAATAGTTTATGTTTGAGGATTCTTTAAAGATGCTCTGCTTTTATTTTTCATTAGGTACTTCGAGGATATTCAACATCAAATAAGCAGTGGTGTGAAATGATCTTTCATATTGCAGATCAGGTGAACAAGTAAAAACTGAGTGTGGCATTTAAAACTACAGACATTTATGATTAACATTCTTGAAGAAAATTGTAAGAAACTCCAAGGTTTCTCACTTGTGCCTTTGATGTACAGTTGACCAGTAGGTCAAGGGAGGTGATTCTGCCCCTCCACTCTGCTCTCGTGAGACCCCACCTGAGTACTGCATCCAGCTCTGGGGGCCCCAGTACAAGACAGACATGGAGCTGTTGGAGCGAGTCCAGAGGAGGGCCAGGAAGATGATGAAAGGGCTGGAGCACCTCTCCTATGAAGACAGGATAAGAGAGTTGGGGTTGTTCAGCCTGGAGAAGAGAAGGCTCCAGGGAGACCTTACAGCAGCCTTCCAGTACCTGAAGGGGGGCTACAAGAAAGCTGGAGAGGGACTGTTTACAAGGGCATGGAGTGATAGGACAAGGGGTAATGGCTTTAAGATGAATGAGGATAGATTTAGATATTAGGAAGAAATTCTTCTCTATGAGGGTGGTGAGGCACTGGAAGAAGTTTCCCAGAGAAGCTGCGGCTGCCCCATCTCTGGAAATGTTCAAGGCTAGGTTGGATGGGGCTTTGGGCAACCCGGTCTAGTGGAGGGTGTCCCTGCCCATGGCAGGGGGGTTGGAACTAGATGATCTTTGAGGTCCCTTCCAAACCAAACCATTCTATGAGTCTATGACAGTGAACGTCTGCAAACTCAAGTAACAAGTTAATGAAAATATCTTCACTGACCATGGAATAGGTATGGCTTAGACATAACATGCTGATGTGCAAGTGATGTGCACCAAGGACTTTTTCACAGCTGAAATTACAAATCTAGTCTGTGTTATCAGTAAGGGCCAGCAAGACACACCAAAATAAGCAATTTGTGGGTATAGGTTGACTCTTGCCAACACTAATGTTCTTAGAAGTATTTCTGTAAAGTAAGTCTAGATCAAGCACATGTTATTCAAGCAGTCCTTCACTTTTTATTACCATCTAACATACTTCAAACAGCAAATTTACACAGCGATAAAATTAAGGATAATTAAATCCAGCTCCAAGACCACAAACCATCCCTTGTTCATCCCAAGCAAATTCCCTAAACAGTCTTTACCATGCTTCAGTCTGTTGCGCAAAACAAGAAAAGCCTACTCAAACATACATACTTCACATGAACTCACTTTAGCTGTGACACAGGTCACAGCTGCTCCTCATGAAAACAGCAGTTTCCTCTCTATTGCTAAAAAATCACAAATTATTTTCAATCTACAAAACTTTACATGACTTTGTCTCCTCAATTCATTACTGGATTTTTTTTGTGGATCACCTGCCTGCCTTTTGGCACTGTATTTCAGAAGAAAGTTCCACTTTCTCTGAAGCCCCAGTTACTCAGCTTTTTCAAATTGTTACTCTCTCTATAATCAGTAGTGGTTTCCAGAAGGTAGATTAAAGCTGACTTGTATAGTACCTTTCCTTTGATACAAGAAATGGTTGCAAAGTAAAGAAAATATGGTAGGTGTCTCCCATGCACACTTCAGTAAGCATTTGATATGGGATCACGTGGGAAATTTTTATTTACTTTGTATGGAAAAATGGAGATTGGTTGAAGAACTTAACATATTGAAAGGGGGAGGTTTGTTTAGTGATTGGTTGTAGGATAATTTTGTTTTAATATTTTCATTAATGATCTTGACACAGAAGAACTGTGCTGAAGGGCAAGAATCCAAGAAATTAGCAAGACAAAAAAAATTTAGATTCTCTGTGTACTACAAGACTACAGGAAGGGCCTGAGTACTACTGTGTCATGTTTATTAAAAAGGCAAACATGATCCCAGTATGCATTAGTCCAGCATTTACACTAGAGATACGGAAGTGCCATCATATAAGGCAGTGGGGGAACGAATTCCATTCTTGTTGCCTGAGCTCCAAGATCTCCTCTTGCACTAGGAAAGAGGAGGGTTATAAGGATGATTAGGAAATGGCGACGTTCCCTTATGAGGGAAGACTAAATGTTTGAGGCTTTTAGCCTACCAAAAAAAAGGCTAAGAAGAATCAGTTTCTTCATTGCAAATACCTCAGAGAAGGAAGCATCAAAATTGAAAAGATGTATTTAAACTGCAGGAGAACTGCTACTCAAAGAACAAATGGGTATTCACTGTGAGGCTGCTATTGCAAGGGGACTAGATTGACCGGCTCGTGAAAACCCTCTCTTGTAAAAAATATGACTAGACAGGATCAAAGAGCCTAGTACATCTGAATATCTTATGAAGTAACTAAAATTCAAGGCACAAAAAGAGTAAACAGGAAGAAAAAGCTTCCAGAAACACAAAAGGAAAAAATCAAAAACCTGTATCATGCTTCAAGGATTAAAGTTGCCATGTCCCAACAATCAGAAACAAAGAAATATCAATGTTAAGAGTGTCTGATGAACTGAATGCCTACAGCCAAAGCATGAGCAAGAGGTCAAATGACAATATACAAGACAAACATTTTAAAGTGATTAAGTATGCCTAGTTAACTAATTAATACCCTAGAGCATATCCCATCTGGGAACTTCAAAGTGCTTCATAAGCCTTAATGACCTACCTCTCATGAATAACCATAATTGCATTATGTACTGTTCTACAGCTAAGGAACTTTGGACACCAATAAAAAGGGACCGGATTCATTGCAGTATGGAAATATAGGCTTAATTTTAACTATGAGTGGTCTCCTGCCATGCACTTAAGTGTTTTGCTAGTTCATAAATGTGAATGGCTATCCTCAGAATAACATTGCAAGCATACACCAGGATATGAACGAAGAATGGGTTTTAATGACCACCATGTACCTCTATTTACCGTCAATGGAAAAAACCAATGGAACACACCACTCAGCATGGTTCTGCAGATAACTGTGGGCAACTCACCACCATCCCTCAATCCACAAGTGACTCATAGATCATGATTTAAGAACCCCTGCTTCAGGACATAAAAGAATTAAAAGCTATCATCAGAATGTGCTGCCGACACAAACAATAAAACTGGACCATTCCAGTAAGGATGACATCTTTGAGCTTATGCCTAACCTGGCTACACAGGGCTAGATTTTCAAGGGAGCACTAATTTAAATACCTACAGTATAGCAGCAGGCTTTCCAGAAACGCTCAAAACACAGAAACTCCAGCATGTCCAGTTCAGGGCCTACCCAAATACCATCAGTACTGAATTCCTGTGCAAAATCAGATCCATAAAGCCATCAAGTATCTATTCCTACAGCAAAATGATTTTTTTTCACTTTCAGTGCATAGTTATGCTACTAAGAGTGAATCTGGGAAAATTATATTGAATGGTTTTAATGACTACAGTGGAGATCTCTGGCCCTGCTTTCCTCCCCCCACCCCGGGAAAATCTTGATATGTCATTACTGCATCAGGATTCTCAAATACAATAAACTCTGTCATGGCTTTGTTGTTAAGCTATTTTATGATGCCATTAAAGCACTATGAAAGTGAATCAGATACTCAAGTCTGGCAATGAGCTCTCATACAGGCTTATAAATTACAATTCATTGTTTCAAAATAAAAAGACTTAGTATTAACTATGCATAGAATTACATTGCTCGCACCTCCTAGCATGTCAAGAGTGACACACTAGATTATTACAAGTATATTTCTTCATTTCTAGCTCCCTGAATGAAGATGAAGACTCAAAGGAGTAATGTGGGTGCCCTTAAAAGCAAAAATAAGGACATCATTTATATTTCAAACAATGCAAAGAAAGTACCCATCAAGAAGAATTTCTGAGAAAATTAGTGTAGCTAAGTATATCATTACCACAGATGTCAAGTTTGCTGCTAAAACTCAGAGAAAGATCATTCTGAAATATTGCTGAAAGATGCTTAAAAGACATCCTAAAGAAAGTTATGCTTTCCTGTGCCGTTAATTAATAACTTGCTGAATCATGTGTTTCTAAGCAAGCTTCACAGTAGGCTCACGAATTACATTGGTCAGGACCTATCAATGGCTAAAGGGCACGGCAAAACAATCCGACCAAGAGAGCAAGAAGCAAGCAAGGACTAAGGGATGTCCAGCATTAGACTACTAAACTCAGTGTCAGCAAACTCAGACATTGGATATTGTCAAGCCAACAAGATAAAGCAACAAGATGCACCTAGATGACCACACTTACTAGAAACGAATAGCGAGATTCATTTAAAATGAGTAAACTAGACTCCTAAAGCCTGTATTCAGTTACTTGGAGAGAAGACCTAATTTTCAAATGGGATTCCTGAACATCCTATACTGATTTAAGATAAACACACTTCCAAGTTAACATAAGAAGCACAAGGCATACAGAAGAAAAGTCAACTAAAAACTAACATTGTACTTAACCAATATAACTCTTCTCTTCCCTTTTGCCTGAAATAAAATATATTTAAGTATATTTACCTTTGCTCCATGCTTATGCAGAACTTCCATGACATCATTATGAGCTTTTTCAGCTGCAACATGTAAAGGCGTCATGAAACTAGGGGAAAAAAAAGGGGGGGAAGGGGTGGGGAAAAAGATATTAGTTTTATATTCCTAGTATGACAGAGCCCTTTGGAAAATTTAAAAATTTCAGAAACCTACTCTTTGTTTTTCTCATTAACATTTGCTCCTTTCCTGAGCAATAGTTCTGTAACTTGCTTCCGCTTGGGATGCACAGCGGCCACAGCACAGTGCTGCAAAAAAGTAAATATAAATTATATTTCAACTACACAGATGACAACGATCTTTAAGATCCATGACTACTTCTCTTAATTATTCTGCTAAACGTCAGACTACAAAATTTACAAACAGAATCCACCATATTTTTGCCAAAACATATAACATACTGAACAAAATACAAGCTAGTGATCAATGCTAAATTATTCTACTCAGAAAAATAATTTTAATTTTAAAGCTATTTGTCACTAACGAAAACAGCAGTATGTTCCCAACTACAATAACAAGATATCAGGACAAAACCAGTGCATAATGCTCAAAGAAGGCAAAGACAAAGAGCTCAAAACAGCCTAACTTTCCACAGAGGGACTCCAAAGGGGCCATTAAGATTCTGCTGCTGCTTCCAGATTAACATGACTTTTGAGCATTGCTTTGTTTCTTCTTCTATTTCAGTCCGTACTGAAGTTGTTAACCCAACGGCAATTCTGTCAGGCACCCAGTTACAAATTATGTAACAAACAAACAGGCAATACAGTTCTCTTAGAGTATCTTCTTTTCCATGCTATGAGAAAGATACACCCTGACCTTGTGGGACACCAAACAGCCCTTTGCTAGGTGTAACTATTCTCCTGAAGGTGGCCGGGGTCTACTTGTTGGTTTGTCTGTGCCGTCGGCACCCAGAAGCGAGCGCTTTGTGTCTCCCTTTTTCCTTTGATCCTCTGCAGAGACTAGATTCAATCTGTCCTGACATTTTCTCAACAGTGGCCCATCAATGCATTCCTGAGGCCTGCAATTACAAGCACGGTTCCAGATAAGCTGGACACCATGCTTTAAAATCAGTCCAGAAATGCTTGTCTCGAGTCTGGATGTCTCAAGATAGCAGACCACAAGAAACAGGAGATAGTTTTGAATATTTTTGTTTATATGTTTACCTACGTTTTAAACCAGTAACCTGTAAAAAGCAGGTAGTGTCCTGAAATAGAGTTCTCAAACTTTCCAATAGCAAACCAATAGCTTTTGCAATGAGATATACCCCGAATAGAATGCTCATAAGTAGCAATAGTACTGATAACCATCTTTTGCCCAGTTTCAGCCTTCACTATGAACTAACTGCCACTCAAGCTTCCACACTGCTGTTAGTTAGCAGAGCATGTCCAAGTTTTGGAAAGGTGAGCTTTGTAAATAAACATTAAAATCAACTTTTGCTCTGAAGAGTGTCAGTATTTTTGAGGCTTTGCAGATAATAGCCTATCTGTATTTCCTGCCAACACAATAAACCAGCACTAAAAGCAACACGAATGCTGAAATATTGCCAAACCTCAGAGCAACACTGAAACGCAAGCCAGGCGCTTGCTTTGGCCTTTGTGGGGTAAGAGGGCACAGACCCCAGTGCCCCACGATAAAAGATACCATGCTTACAACAGGAATAGCTCAGGTACACTGTATGTAACCTTATCAGATCCGGGAAGCTAAGTCCTGCCACTTGGATGGGAGACCACTCGGAAATCTCAAGTACAGGAGGCAAAAATTGAGAAATCACAGTCAAATACTTACTCAACAGTGAACCAAAGGCATCAATAGAGCTAACATAGCCCATTTTGCCTAGCTGTCTCTGCAGAATGAGCAGGCAGAGAAGCAAAGAACAAAGTGATCATTACACAGCTGAAAGAGATGCCACGTATCAGCCGCTGATATACTCAGGAAGGGATAACATCATCCCAAATTTCCTACTGCCTTCCTGTTCAGCCTCTAAGTATCTCTTCTCTGTCTTGCTTCTAAGTTCAGGCTAGGATGTCGAGTCCTCCATGGACGGAACAGAGCATACGGATGCTTGGTAGTCAACACGCACTGCTTTGCTCACCACCGCAATGTTTGTAACACTAAATACGCAGTGTATGCCTGCAGCTGAGACCTACCACTGTGAAGAAAATGTTCCATTGGAATAAAGTATCATAACTATAATAGTTTTAATAATACCATCAGTCCCTCTCAACTTCAACATCTCCACTGCATCTGGGATACTGGCTGTGTTCTTTGCCTCCACTGCTTCTTCAAACAGTGAAATAAGAGCAGGAAACTGGCAGGGAAGTCTCAAATATCCATTTCTACAGCTAATGTGGTATTGTCAGTACTATTCCAATCCTGTAAGAGCCTGTCATATACACCTAGCATCCATTTTCATCACAATTTTATATACCCTATGAAGAAAATTTGTAATCCAAGTTTGCCCACGTAAAACATGAAGGAAGCACTGGGCCACTGCAATAGAATTTAATCCCAGAAAAAACACAGCAACTGATCAACCAAAAAAAAAAAAAAAAAAAAAAAAAAAAAAAAAAAAAAAAAAAGAAGAGTGTGATGGGGAAAAAAACAGAAGTGAAAAATGACAGGTGAGGAGTGGCCAAAGGGTTTCTGTAAGCTACCAGGAAGAAAAAAACGTGATTTAAAATTAAATAACCATTATAGAAATAACATCATATCTTTTTTTTTTATATAAAGTGTTTAATAGTAAATCCTCAATCTCAATGCATTTTCATAGGGTAGAAATAAAACTCAACTAGCACTACCACCACATTTATAATGAAACAAATGGATTGACTGTATAATCTCACCAGTGCAGTCTCATGCGACTGTGGTTGCTTAAAATTAATGATCTCCAAAGCAAGTGTCTTTTTCACTTTGGCTAGGTCTGCCTCTCTGGCTGCTTGCAGTAAAGAGTGTCCTTTGAATTCATCTGTTAGAGGAAAAAGATGTATTTAATATTCAGCAACATGTCACATTTATTAATGTTATTGGAGAAAGGTAGCTATACTCAATTAAGAGCAAGCAAGATTATTTCTGTACATCTGCAGATAGTGGCTGAACTGGGACACAGAACATGAAACATGGTTTACCAAAACCAAAGGGACATTCTAAAGGAGAGGGGAAGTGATTCCTTGAGTAAAATCTTTATAGCTTTTTCTCCATCTTATCTTCCACCCACTTGATGGTAAATGCATATGTGACCTCTAAATTACCAATGTATGTGTTCAAGTGAGCACAATGCTATTACATGCTCTTCAGAGAAAAGCATTACAGTTGCTTTTCAAAAACCTTATTGTATCTACAACTACAAATAATTCAAGGTAATGCCTGAACATATAATTTAAATATTAAATATTAAACCATTGGTCTTAAAGAAAGCTAACCGGCTAAGCATTTGAAGTTGGTCTGCTGCAAATACGAAACAGGTTTTAATAGCAGCTATATCTTTGCAAGTACGGAGAGGTAATTTTGTTATTTTCAGTATTACATCTTGTTCAGTTCAGCAACTAGTTCATTTTAGGTTTAAATAATTTTGAATTTGTAAAGGACTAGAAGTGTTTCTCTTAAAATGTCAAATTAAAGGTAGGCTAGCAAGAATGACATCTGAACTTGGGAACTAGGAAAAAGAAAAGCATAACAATCTCAGTTAAAATCAGTATTTTTCTTTCATAAGCAAGCTTGAAATACTAGGCTTGTTAACAGAGGCTTTCTGTTCCCAGCCTTGTTTTAATATGTGGTGCATTTATAGATTTAGAAATAAAAATAAATGTAATACATTTTAAGTTTTCATTTCAAATAGAATTCAAATTTCTTTGTAAACAAAGCATTACACAAGCACAAGTACAAATGAATCTTGAACTAACAAATAAATGTAATTTTATTCCTGAAGTATAAAACCAAAGAACTCAAGAATATAGTAAACATGTTATTTTGGGTATGCAAATACAGGATGCACCATCAAGATATTGTCAAATTTGTCATAATGCTCACATTTGTGTACACATTTCAATGGATATTAATGGACATGAATCTTTCCCCTCTCCTCTCCAGGAACTATAGCAGAAATAAAACAAAGTTTAAATACTTTTTTTGCTTGCTAATTTAAACAAATGGTAAATTAACCTGCCTCAAAGCCAGAAGCATCTCCCAAGTTAGCCCAGACTAGAGAAGTATCTAAGAGATAGTAACACCCTCCTCTTGTCTCCTGCAGCAAAGTTTTCTGCTGCACGTGATCTCACCGCTTTCGCACACAAAGAATAGTGACAGATGACAACCTGACTAGCTGCGATTGTGAGTACTGCAGGATCACATTCTTAGTGCATCAGAGGGGGCTTCTGCTATACTGGAAAGCTGACAGACAAAACCAAAAGCTTATTTATAACTGAGTTCAGAATCTACTTCTCAAGAAGTTTTCTGTAACTTCATAATGCTTTGATTCCATACTTGTCTCAATTATCTTTTACAGTTTATAACAACAAGAAAACAAATCCCCAAAAGAGGGCAAATAAAGGCAGACAAATTCAAATTTGAGCTGAAACGTTGTTTTGTAAACAGCATGAGGACTGCAAAGACTACAAAAGAAGGTGCTGGAATTTCCATCTCTTCAAGTTTACACACCAAAGCTACCTACCTCTTAGAAGCTACTCTTTAAGTCTGATATAGAGCTTCCATGTACAAGTTTCTACGTGACTTAACTGGACTTTAAGCATAAAAAACTCCCATGGTTACTGATTCAGCAGTGCCTTAAACATTTTCAATCTAAGAAAATCAGACAATGTCATGAACAGTATAAAGCAAGAGGCACAGCTGCAGTTACACTGCTGCTTCGCATCTACTTGTGAAGTATGAGGAAGCTGGCTTGAAAGAAAAGCACCCCTCAACACCCACCGACAACTGTTCCCAGTCTGAAAACACTTACAGGTCAGCCTCTCCCTTAGCTCAGGCGTTGGAGCCATATCGACCGCGCTCTTGCCGTGGCAGTTGACTAATGTGGGATCTGCACCGTGACTCAGCAGGAGGGAGCAGACCTCTACGCGGTTCTTGGAAGCAGCCTCGTGCAAGGGGGTAAATTGCCAGAGGTCCATAGCATTCACACAGGCACCATGCTAGCACAGCAAAGAAAGCCTTATATTAGTAAAAAATCATCTTCAACAACTAAAAGCTTACAGATTTTCATTTCATTACAAAAACCGGTTCCATTCTTTCATATATGAACACATACACAAAGAACAATTAAAAAAATTCCTTCATATACAAAAAAATCCCCTGTTGAATCCTCAAAAAAAATTGGAATTTCTGTATGAGCTAGTTTTTCAGTAGAACAGAGTTTTCCATAGAAAAATTCAAATAAATGAAACTCTACTATCTGTCCAAAGAAATTAGGTGGGGAAAACCCCCACATATACTGTACCACAGAAAGGCCTGAAGTAACAGGCTTCTGAAACGACATACAGGACATGTGAAACTTGTTATAACAGGAAAAAAAAAAAATCTTCCTTTTCAACTCTGGTATAAATAGTTCATATCTCACTTAACACATCTAAATCTACAGTAATTACTTTCCATCCTTCTGCTTACCTTAAGCAGCAGCTCTGTAACCTCATAGTGTCCATATGAACATGCATTATGAAGAGGCACAAGACCACTGTATAGAAGAAGGCAAATGACAAATTTATTTAATTAGTATTTCTGAAGAACAAGGAATAATTTTCTCTCTACTGAGAGATGAACTGAAATAAAATTAAATCTAAAATATTTAAATATTCAAATATTTAAAAATTAAGATTTGCAGACTAATGGGAAAATCCAATCTTGCCAAATAACATCTTACTTATGAGTAGCATTAAAACGTTTTGGGGGGTTTTTTTGTCCTAACGGGCCACAGATGTTTAATCTACCACTAAGATTAGCATTAATTGGCTTTGAAATGATCTTCCTTGAAGCTATTAAGGGGGAGGAAGTCCCATTCCACATTCAATTTGCTCAAGAGAAGTCACTGTTCATTTCTGCCTAAATATGAACTCCTGTTTATTTAAAATGCTATGTGAAAGGCAAAACTCCCCAGATAACACTAACGTAACTCCTGGGTATATTACGAAGATGTACAAATATCCATAGAAAGCAGACCAAAATTGCTGCTCCAGATTGTGGAATGACCTGATTTTACTCCATTTTTTTTTACAGTACAACCTATTTAATTGTGCAAGATACTTCTAAGAGAGTCTCTGTAATTTTTGTACAGCTATAGTACTGGAGGCCATACTTAAAAATGACACTAGCAAAGTAAATAACAGGGATTTAGTCATAAACACAAGATGTAATAAAAAAAGTCATGCATTGAAAGGGAGATGGCAAAGAGGACAATTATTACAGAGGACAAAATGAGTTTAATTCAAGCCAAGCCAGACAGGCTAGTTATGGCTCAACAAATCAGGATACATAATACACTGAAAACAATAATTAACCCTTGACCATTTATGAAAAATACAGGGGATGTTTTCCAGAATTGCAAAATCAACTCAAAGAATACTGGGACAGCACGTACTAGAAAACAGGGTAAACAATTTTAAATTAAATCTCAAAAGCATCATTGCACTTGTCACAGGGGAGGGGAAAAAAATTGTTTTGAGGAAATTTTTCAAACTGTTATTTTCCATCATTACTTCTCTTAATTACAACTTATGGGTGTATGTGTGAGAGGAGAGAGTATCCAGTCCACAAAGCACTCAAAAACCCTGCCTTCTTCCAAAATGATGGTCATCTAAGAGGCCTGAGGCATTCAAGGTCTCATCAGCAAAGACAGTCATTGCAGCAATCCACCTGGCCACTTTTCCAGTGCATTGTGACTTTGTGCACAATAGCAAGAAGGCAAAGAAAGGACCAGTGGAAAAAGAGCTGCTTCCTTGGCTGCGGTTCTCTTCAGGAGTAACAAAAATTGATGACCATTTTGAAAATGCGTCACAGTTCCTCAGGACTCTCTCCGAAGTGACCCCATTGAAGAGAATCTAACAGGTCTATAAAATCAATGTCACCTAATCTAGTTCCATAAATGATAAATGACATTTATTTATAGCCTATTTACTCATAAATTATGTAACAATAAGAAACAGCAAGAAAAAAATCAAAAAAACACACTGATTGTAAAGTGTGATCCCACTAAAGAAAAAGGGAGCTTAATGGGCTGTCAAACATTTCTAAGCACGTTTGAATTGTTTTTATGTGTAATACAAAGTGTATCATTTTTATTTTCTCCCCATCCCCCCTTCCCCCCCACTCAAGTTCAACTTAATTACTTTTCACACTTTTCAAGTAGATCGTTCAAACCTCATTAAAGCATCTATGCTGCAATTTTCTACCAAGTGATGCTCAAATTTTGGAGGGGTGTGAAATGCCTAAGACTTGCTTAACAATGCTGGATCTACCTGAATAGGTGCTACATGCAGCTTTACTGTGGGGTTTTTTGACTTACATAATGTGTCATCATGCATTTCACAACAATTCTGATCAAAAAAAGCCATGAAGGGTGAATGTACAGAGAAAAGTGCTACAATTAGTCAACTTCAAGAGTTAAAGTACGCTTGGGGACTGGTTTTGGAAAAGAAAAAAAACAGAAAAAAATCAAGATTTTAATTTAAAATCTCTTTTAACACTAGGCAGGACTCAGCAGAAAATGAAGATAGAGGAAGTGTCTCAAGATTGCTGATGGAGACAGAACACACACTCATTAATATCCTACCTCTATGGACTCTGAATACAAAATGCATGCCTTTAACCAGGGCCCCAATTTCTACAATGTTAGGACTAAGCCTTCCATTCAGACCACCACGAGAATCATCACCTTAGAGTTCAGAAACGTATGGCTGAGAACGATGTACAACATGCATCGTTCCAAATTTCTGATTGCTGTGCACTTTTTGTTGGTATCTTGCTTAACTACCATCCTTATCGCAAAAACACAATAGTTTAGCTTCTACTATATCTTGATTTTTGCTGGCAATATCAATCAAGATAGGTCTCCAAGGACCACTAGTTGTGAGCATGTGAATGTTATTGATATTACCTGGAATTACATTCATATTTATGCAACAAGATAATGAGACTATAGAGAAACTTTTCAATGCACTTTTTTTTCCACTAAGCCCACGTACTTTCTCCCCATCCCCTTCCCTAAAATAGTGCTAGAAGTCTATGAGTTCACAGGGTAGTCTGTGCATGGAAGCAAAGAACAAGGTTTGGAAAAAAAATTAAAGGTGTAATATAAGACTTAAAACAAGTGCAGTCACAGCTAATCTGTTATTTGGGCTCTAACAAAAGTTCATTTACGATGAACCACACTCAGATTTTTGGAAGAAAACGTTGCATTCTCAGCCAACTATCTGAGATTATGCTGCAACGTGAAACAGAGAAGTAATTCATCATCTTGATTAATATAAAACCATTGCTGCAAACAGATAATAAATCAATTCATTTTACGTACCCTTTGTCCTTTGCGTGAACATCTGCACCATGCTGAAGCAAAAGCTGGACTATTCGAACTCTGTTGTAGCCTGCTGCTAGATGTAAAGGAGTGGACTGCAAAGTGAAAAAAACAACACCCAAGATGAAGAATGGGAGCCACATAAATGTAAAGTCCTGCATTTCCTGCCATTTAAGTACTCTTCGTTTCTCTTACATATTGGATCAAGGTAAGTTATGCTTCCCTTCTGTGATTAGCCAAATTAACAAATACATAGCACGTGCATGCCCTTCCTGTTGTCAAAACAGCTAAACATGCCTTAAGGTGGGGAAGAATCCAGGTATCCCCCCTAAGGCAATAACAAGCTCATAATTTAAAGTTAACTTAAATAATGTCCAAACATTGTTTTGTTTGGGTTTTTATTTGTTTTGCTTCATTTATTTTTTAAAAATGCTGTAATTTAATTACTTTTTTAAATGCTACTTTTTTTTTTTTTTTAATTCATGAGCAAATTTATGCAGTTCAAGCTGCATACTCACAGGTTACAGAACTGCTTGTATGCACACTTGTTGCAACAAGTGCACAAGAGGCAGACTGCAGAACAAGAAATAATGCA